GGTGGGATGGGGGAGAGAATCAGAAGAGTAAAAGTGAGAAAACCCGTGGGTTGAGATAAAAACAGTTTAATAATTGAAATAAAATAATAATAAATAATATACAAAGCAAGTGATGCACAATGCAATTGCTCACCACCCGCAGACCGATGCCTGGGAGCAGTGGCCCCCCCGGCCAGCTTTCCCCCAGTTTATGTGCTGAGCATGACGTCACATGGTATGGAATGTCCCTTTGGCCAGTTTGGGTCAGCTGTCCTGGCTGGGCCCCCTCCCAGCTTCTTGTGCACCTCCAGCCTTCCCAGTCGGTAGAGCATGGGAAGCTGAAAAGTCCTTGGCTAGTGTAAGCACTGCTTAGCAACAACTAAAACATCGGTGTGTTATCAACATTATTCTCATCCTAAATCCAAAACACAGCACTGTACCAGCTACTAGGAAGGAAATTAACTCTATCCCAGCCAAAACCAGGACAGCCTATTATATGATCTTTGAGTTTTGTAATAAAAAATCGGTCCTGGGGATGTGATGTGCCTGCTTTTAATTCAGCTGTTTTCTTTGATCTGTAAAGCGCAGTGTTGATGATGAGAGTTCTGTCCATGCCTGTGAGCCTGCAAAGGGAGGTTTGCCACTAATTTCAATTAGAGGGAGGCCTGAAAAAAGTGTCCATAGTGATTAGGGATATGGGAAGATCCTCAGAGTAAAGTCTAAGGACTTCAAAATGAAGCCTCCTAGAAAAAGAAGGGGAGAGGGATACAGGGGAGAGTCACAGCAGAGAACGGGTAGAAAAATGGTGTAATGGCATGAGTACCACCATGCCCATTTCCTTGGGTGATCTCATTAGAAGCAATAGGAAGGAATTAGTTACAACATGCAACCCAAACAGCTTTTATGAGATTATGAGAGAAGCCTCATGTGTGCAGAGCCTAAAACAGCTCATGAGGAAACAGAAGGAAAATACACCATGACATCATTGCTTCCAAAATCAGCCTTCTCGCTTTTGATAGAGCCCCAATTTTTTTGTTCTCTGACTGTGATTTTCCTATTGAGTAAGCTCTACGCTCATTCTTGAGTTACTTTTCTGATGACTCACAGGGGCATGGAAAGAAGGCTTGGGTTTTGCTGCGAGCACTCAAATAGCTCTGGCTCTGTGTTACTGGGATGGATGTTTAGTTGCTTAGGGCTTAGGGAATGATGACATGAAAATGGGGAAACTGTCTGGCTTTGGCTTTGCACAGTGCAAACCAGCAGGCATTTCAAAAAACAGCCAGACCTTTTGTCCTGTGCAAGAAGTCATGTGTACTTCGGTCTGATCTGTAGCTATGCATAATCAGCTGTAAGCAGAGTAAAACAACTGGAGAAATAGCAGGATTTAATTCACGAAACAGTTCAGCTGCATAATGCTGCAGAAAAGAGTAATTAATTAAAGCGTGACAATGTCTGCCTGGCGGTTTCTAACCAGTGTTATTTAGGCTTCTGTATTCTCTGCAAAGTGGCTGAGACTCAGCTTGGTGTTTTTGTGAGGCTGCCCCAAGTTAGCAGCAAGTGTTGGTTCACCCTTAGGGCCGTATCTGCCAAGCCCTGGTATTAATTCTCTGTAGTGTGAGGCAATGTGTGGCCTTCTGTACAGAGACTGGACGTATTTATCATTTGACAGCCCCCTTCCCCATGTAAGGTAGAAAAAATTTTGAGCTGCAGTAAGGCTGAGCAACCTGCTTCATGTCACAGAACATCTGCATCGTAATCCGTGTTCTCGGGAGGAGTGCGTTTCTAAGCAGTCACTAGGAAATGAGATTTTTTAAGTTCCTTCCTGAGTCTGACTTCTAGATATGTTTCATTTGGAAGATCACAAAGGAGGATCTTTTAGAAGGGAAACTGCTACTAAGACGTGTGCTTAGAAAGGACAATGAGTTTAGACAGCGATATTCATCTATTGTTCTGCTAACTGTTAAGCACTTCTCTATCTCCAGAATCATACCCCAGTCACCTGGTTCCTGTGAATGTGAAATGACTGAATCAAACTGAGGAGGTCAAAACACTTCTCATATTTAAAAACTTGTAATCTTTTGTTAGCTTGGAAGAGCAAAACTTCTAAAGTTCTTGAGAGATGGCTTTAGAGACATGTGGAAGCTGTTTGAGTTGTCTGCTGATACCTCTTGCACTTTGGAGTATTGTTGTTAACATCCT